TACTACTACTACTACTACTACTACTACTACTACTACTACTACTACTATAGTACTAGTCTACTAGCAACGACGAGAAGAATCAATCTTTACAGATTCTTAGGAAACACTGGAACACTTCTTAAAATATGTTAAGAAACAGCTCCAAGAACCACCGCAAGAGTCTTCTTCAGCTTCGAGTCTCCAGTACAGTTTTTAGCTACTTTCTCAACTTCTGAACCTACCTTAAGCTATTGCAGTTTAGGTAGACAACTTAAGATACGAATAGCTTATTCGAGATCTTTCTGGATTCCTCTTTTGTATTCATGGCCCAAATGTCTGAGAGAGGCACTGAATACTCCGAGGTCTCAGATTCACCGCTTCCGCTTCTTCCGCTTCGGCTACCTACGCATTGCCGCACTCTTGATTCATGTTCACATCGTTCCTTTGACTAAGAACCTAGTAGCGTCCTTGCTCCTAGTAGTAAGGCCAGGAGCCCCTAGTACTGTAACTGTAGCTTCTTGTTACTAGTAGCGATGCCAGGAGCCCCTAGTAGCGTCCTTGCTCCCAGTAGTAAGGCCAGGAGCCCCTAGTAGCTTCTTGTTACTAGTAGCGATGCCAGGAGCCCCTAGTAGCGTCCTTGCTCCTAGTAGTAAGGCCAGGAGCCCCTAGTAGCTTCTTGTTACTAGTAGCGATGCCAGGCGCCCCTAGTAGCGTCCTTGCTCCGAGTAGTAAGGCCAGGAGCCCCTAGTAGCTTCTTGTTATTAGTAGCGATGCCAGGAGCCCCTAGCAGCGTCATTGCTCCTAGTAGTAAGGCCAGGGACTGCAATAAACGAGCCCATGCCCCTGCCTTTGGTGGACCTGAAAAAGGTTGCAAATGCTGTCTGCAATTGTAGCTGAGTACTCCAGTGACTCCAGTGTGTTTCAAGGGTGATTCTCTGTTCACATTGTGCCAAGTGCCCCGCTCAGCGGGCATGTCACTAGGTTCGGCAGCCTGATCGACCTGCACCACAGTTCAATGAAAAATCATTGAGAGGCGAACTTGGGCAGGCTGGTGCACCAGGCAAGTAATGCTCTAGAAAAGAGCTTCAAGCCTTTTCAGCCCTGTGCACCTGGACGCTAAGCCCGCAACTGGGCTTTTCTCGGGGCTCCTCAGCGACTCTTCAAAGCGAAGTCTACAAAGGCCAATATCATTGCAGTAAAGTGTGCAGTCAAAACCGCTACCATCCAACTGCTTGTGCCAAAGGGTTACTTGATACCGCAGCGACTGTAAGTACTAGCTTAAGCGCCTCGGACCTCCGGGCACAGGAGAACCTTTCCCCAAAACCGGTTCTCCTCTGCATGTCCTGTATTGTTCCTAGTAGTAATGCCAGGAGCTACTAGTAGCGTCCTTGCTCCTAGTAGCGATGGCCTCCAACCTACTTGCAATGGCCGCCACGGCCTCCACCTACAGTAGCGGCGTCCTTGTTGCTTCCGTGCCTTTGTCTTCAACTGCCTGTACAGTGAACCAGGCACGTCGCTCGTGCACAAGGCGTACGCGGCGTAGCTGTGTGAAATATATAATTCTTTGCTGGCAAGTTGCACTCGTCTTCAGATTGTCCATTTCGTCTGTCTCTAACCTGTGTCCACGTTGCTACATCCATTTGATGAAGTTAGGGAATCGGTTTGCGGATATTCTTCTCCTGAATTCTCTCCATGCCAAAGCTCGCCTATCTCGTCTAAGCCACATTCTCTGTTCACTTCAAGTGTTGTCCCTTTTGACGCCAGTATTGATCGGCAAATCTTGAACTCCAAAAGGACATTGAGGAATGCCAGCAAGTCTCAAGTTTGCTTGCCTGCTCTTGCTTGGAGAAGGCCGATCCAAATCCCCTGACACAGTATTAAAACATGCTGGAGAGTCTAGAAACATCAAAGGAAACATCAAAGCATGTTCTCTTTTGGCCCGGACCGGCATCTTTCATGACCTCAGCCGTCAAGAAACTTGGAATGAATATATATATATATATAAATTTGTTGCAATTTGGAATAGATCTACCATTGGAGATCAAAAGCCACTGACATTCAACCACCACTTTGAGTCTCCAGCGATCTCAGAGTTTTCAGCTGTTTCATTCTTCCCACCAGGCTTGCCTTCACTTTGCTCCCTGCGCAGAACTTCTCAGCTTCTACTATCTGCAAAGACTCTGCAGACATCAACATTATCCGTCTGATTATTGGTCAAACTGCTTAGGCTCTTTGCCTGTCAATGTCAGGCTCGGAACCTCTGGCGTAGGAATGCACAAAGAAAAACAAACTTGACGAAGGAAATTGAAGGAAAGTATATAAGAAAACTTTCATTCAGCGTTTTACAATACTAGGTATCTTGCCTCCGGCAGAGTTCTTTACAGCTGCCTTGAGCGCAAAGCACTGGAATGTCTTTGACTACAAAGTCAGCTGAGTGGATCGCGTGAAGCCCACTTGGCCTCGTTTGTTCGATCGTACACCGAAAGAAGCTTCTCACGAATGATCATCATCCAAAATGTTTGATATGTTGTAAACATTCACTCATCAACTTAGGAATGTTGGTTGTGGAGGCTATCACAACTATTTGTGGCCAATAATCAAATGTCAAATGTATAGCTTGTGGTCTTGAAACTCTCGATTCCATCTGATGTGATTGCGGAAGCTGTCACTTCTCCGATCTCACCAACTCCATAGAAGCTGCTTCAAGTCGCTGCCAAAAGGAGAATAACACAAAATCGGTGGTGTGATGTGTAGTGGAGGTGACACTAATACTAATCACTTCAAACATTTCCTATTGAACAGAAATCCAGTACAAGAAAAGCTGATCTGTCTTGTCCCATTTGACAGAAATAACAAGAAACATAGCATCTTTTGTGGCGCGGAGCTTCTCGCCTGGCGAGAGACTCCTCTGACTGTTCAGTCCTGCCACGCACAGCGGGAGACTCCGTTGTGTCGCGTGGCGTGACTCACACGGTGTGTTTACCCTAGTAGCGTCCTCTTGCTCCTAGTAGCGATGCCCTTTGCTCCTAGTAGCGTCCTTGCTCCTAGTAGCGATGCCAGGGGCCCCTAGTAGCTTCTTGCTTCTAGTAGTAAGGCCAGGAGCCCCTAGTAGCTTGTTGTTACTAACAGTCAGGCCTTTCACGTGGAGATTTCAACGCTGGCTCTGGCCCTGCCATGTTTTGGCTCAATGAGCTTCACGTATTTTCTCTCTAGTTCACGAAGGACTATGAGCTACCAGGACTGCATGATGTCAGAGTATGATGATATTGCAATGTTTTGTCGGCCTGTAGCAAATGCATCGTACTCCGTGGAGTCAGAACTCGACTTTGGACTCTTCACACCTTCAAATAAAGCAAGTTTTAACACAGCCATGGCTAGAGACCACAAGCGGAGTGTTCACATGTGGGCCTTTCTGCACAGTGGAGAGTTCAGATTCCCTGCCAAAGCAAAGGGGGACCAACATTGCATTAGCACGGATTCATCACTGACAACCGCAACGTTCTCTTCACTGATCAACAGGGCGGGAAGAATGCTGTCATGGAAGTAGTTGACAAAAAAAACACAAAGAAGTATAGAGTCAAAGACAGTCTGAGTTGCGATGTCAACGGTATTAAATTTGATCCGACCGTCAGCTTGCATCTGAAGGGTAGAGTCTGTTGGTCGGTACAACGATGTTGCAGCCTGGCAGAGCTGAGCTTGTCCTCAAGGTGCCAAGCCATGCAATCACACAATAGCACGCACTTGTATGAATTTATCAAACCCATGATATCCCATGATATGCATTTATTATTCCATGTTATGTTTCATATTCTTCCTTATGTTTATTTCAGCAAAGCATAACTATTTTATCACATTTTGCACAATCAGTACGCCTTCGGGCCATCTGCAAAAATGGTCGTCCAACTGCCGGTAGACTTTCGAGGCTCCTTCACACATAAGACTAACATTCATTATCCGTCCTGATAAGGTCTTTAAATGGATGATAGAACATTTGTGTGTTCCTTCTTTTGGGAGGGGGTAAGTATGCGGTAGTCTAACCTTCAGTAGCTAGTGAATGCATGTAGTAGTAGCATCTAAGGAATAAGACATGATAAACAGCTAGTAGCAATTGGCCACGACTAGGTGCCAGGACAAACTCTCTGCTCAGGTCACTGGGGAGTTTCCTTGAAGGTTTACATGATTCATTTTGCTTCGATGTTTTAGAAACAATACTCACACATTTATTTTCTTAAGTTTCCCTAACAATTAAGGAACCAAATCATCAGTGCGAGCACTATCCTGCGTCCAAGGTAGTAGCTACTTGCAGGTAGTAGCTACCTCTCCCTACTAGCTACTACCTACCTCTACTTGGGGCCTACCCCCCCCACTCCTGAGGAGCTGCCTGTGGTGGTGTTCGTGGGATCCAGTCTGGAGACTCGCTCCTCCCAAACATCCAAACACGGCTGGATGTACCATAATGTACCCAACAGCGTGCTGGCTACCCACACTGTTGTGTGCACTTAAAGCTCTGGGAACAGCCGCCTCTGCGCTTCTGCTGTGTCTTTGGCCTAGACCATGGCAAACTTTTGTTGAATATCATGCATTGAATACACGTGCACGAGAACAAACACTCTCAATGTTTCAACGCTGAACATGGCCGAGTCACAGAGTTGGAAGCAATTGGAGAGGAACTGCGACTGCAAGCAGTTCTGTTGGAACTAGGAAAGCTGCATTACATAGTACTCTTAGTCCACTAAATTGTCGGCATTATGTTACACACTTTAAGAAAACCTGAATGATGAATGATGTGTATACTGTACTATATATTAGGTTTCGCTGCAGCTGCATGTTTCCAAACCTGATCACTGAATGGGCTGACCCTAGATCAATTCACTGCTAAATGCCTACCCTTCTGTGCACTACCCTTCTGCTTGCCTCTGATTAAATACTCTCATTCACTCCATGGATTGCTTTGTGGTGGTGGTAGCAGTGATCGACATTGTGAATACGCTGTCAATGTTGATTGCAATTGGCACGCTTCTTGAACTTGGCTGTGAATAGAGTGCTGATTATTGACCTTGTAGGTTGGAGGGAAAACGTACGCATCTGTTCACTGTTGCATGTATTTCGTTGATTGATGGCTTGTTGTGGCCGTCTCGTGGTGAAATCGGTGCGGAGGAGCTTAAGCAGCTGACACAGTTCCAAAGGTCAGCCACTTGAATTCTGTGCCATGGCCGGTGAGTAGGGATAGATACGTATATATATAGAGAGACTTGTATAGATACAGGATTGTAAACACTTTGCAGATTTATATAATACACAAAAAGCAGCGTTGACAGAGACCCACAGTGCCAAGCGAGCGGCATGGGTGAAGTCTTTGCAGGTGGGTTTGGTGACCTTGGAGGTCAAATCTAAGATGAAAAGACCCGTGGGATCAAAGTGATTATCCAAAGCTGCACACATGGCCTTCGTTACTAGTAGCTTCTTGTTACTAGTGGTAAGGCCAGGAGCTACTAGTAGCGTCCTTGCTCCTAGTAGCGATGCCCTTTGCTCCTAGTAGCCTCCAGTTAAATTGAAAACACGTCGCATTTGGCATTTAGACTGTGGCCCCTTTGGAGCCGCCTTTGGGCTGTCCTGAAGTGATCAAAGTATAGCTAAAGGCATTCACATACGGGAAGCTGTCGGGAGATGTCGGGAGCGGTCTTTTATAAACGTATCAAAATGTCTAACTTGTCTCAAAGCCCTCTTCTTCTGAATATACCGCATCTTCACACCTGAAAAACTCGGCAAACGCTTAAGCTTCGCTGACAGAAAGGCAGCACATCTCTTTTTCGATCCGGTCGGATGCACATACAGTGAATATGGAATCAGCCAAGACTGCAGAGCTTTGCTCATCGTCAAGGCACTCAAAAGCTTTGTACAGTTCTTTGGAAAACCCGATCACAGGAGGGAGGACCCGTGAGCAAGCTTTCCTGCATCTGTCCAATCACATAGTCGGATCATGTCGGATCCACAATTCCATTATTCTCATTCAATGACGGATTTTCGCGAAGAGCACCCACACTCGTCGTTTGTGCTCGAATTGATGCAAACATATGCAAACTTGGTTCGACTCCTCGGCCATGTGAAGTGTTCGATATGCTTTGTTCGAGAATTGGCAAACAGCAAAAGTAATCTGCACGATGTTGGCAAAGTGCACAAAACCCAGTCGTGTGTAGACATGCTGCTCTGGCAGCGAGCGGATAGGGTCTTGGATGAGTTTGCCCTGGAGCAGCTTGCAAAAAAAAACCAGGGGTTACTGGATTCTACATGATCTTGGTGCTTGTCTTACGCACCACCTTCGGACGCCCTATGGTTCCATATATGTTTACCTTCTGCACTTGTCATACAGGTGGTCTGTGACTCTTGGCCGATCCAACAAAACATCGCAGAACACATCTACGGCGACTTTGCAGGTTCTAGAGTTCTACTGCAACGCTGCTCGACTTGATCGACTTGATGTACTTGCAGGGGAAGGGTTGATCAGCAAAATGAAGTTGAATATGCAGAGAGATGCAGAGAGTAGAGAGCAAAGCCAGTCGTTTTCATTCAGTTCCGGCAGTTGCTTAAGAGGGACACAAGCAAGCATTAGGAGACAAGACCTAAGAGCGGAGCTTAGAATACCCAAGAATGAACGAAAGACATTCGTACGGTAATACGCTCATGCACAAGAAGTTGCATAATGCCAATGAAACAGGAAGATCTTTCTTGTTTGATTCGCACCATGTTCGCACCTGGGAACCCACTTCATAGAAACCGTGAGGGAGCCGCAAAAACTGTTCTACAAGCAAAAGCCTCATCTGTCGCAAAATGGAGAAGGCTCCTTTCCCTATCTCTCAGCATTTCAGTCCAAAGTTAATTCACAATCTGTATTTTCAATCACATGAGTCAGCAAAAATACAATGTCTGTCATTTCAGTATTTGAGAAACCCTTGACAACTTGAGAACACAATTGGACAATATAATATATAACGAAAGAGCCTGCAGCACTTGCAATGCCAAACACGGCCATGACCTGCAGCCGCTGCAGTGTAGCACTCTCAAAAACGGTTCCTAAACGCTTTCAGGCTTTCAAATCTTTCAAACAGAAACTACTGTGTTTTCTTTTTAAAATAGCCCTCCCTCTCCTACTTAATCAAGCAGGCGCCTACTTAATTAAGGGAATAAGCTCCTAGCTACTTAAGCGTCTAGCATAGAACAGCATGGCTCACGTTTCTTCAATCAAGCTCCCCCCGTCCTCAGGCGGGGGGCAGCTTTCTTGAACAAGCGCTCGCACTAATGATTGGGTTCCTAGATTCCTAGATTTTTAGGGAAACCTAATTTAACCCTTTGAGTGAGTCTTTACTTGATCCTCCCTATTCCTTTGCCTCCATTGCCTCGAGCGTCGCAGTGAAAGTATCTGAAGAGAATCCAAGCCTCAGTTGAAATCTGATCTTACGACTCACGATTTGACCAGTTCTTTGTGCAGTACCAAAGAATTGAATAGAGGAATCCAAAGAATTGAATAGAGGAATCCAATGAAACAAACATGATCACAGGAAGTCTAATCTCGCTCTCTTAGTTTCAAACGACTCGGACATCTCGCACAGCTTGACCTTTCAACACCCAGCAAAGAGTAGTCGGGTATTCATGAAGCAATTCTAGTTCATAGGAAATCCCTTAATTCTCGGGTGGCATTCCGTCTGTAAGGGAGACCTCTGCCTATCCAGCCCTTTTCAATGCCACGTACTCACATAAAATGTCGAACTTTTAAACCGCACGTGTGTGTGTGTGTGCTTGCGTGCATGTTGAAGGGCAGAACTTGTTGCAAACTACAAAAGCTCTCTAGCCTCGAACGATTGAATCACTCGGTCTCTTTTCTCTACATTGTATGAAAACAAACGAACACTCTTAGCACGTGACGTGCAGTGGACCTACATGTTTCTTGGCTTCAACAGTGACTGTGGATGCGTCTGTGTATCTAGTCACACCTCCCCTTGATGAGCGCAAGGCGCTAGCTGTTGCTGCAACAAGTTTTAGTTGTACACTATCACACTTTGTAAAGAGAAGTCGCCAGAACCCGTGGGAGTATAATATTGGGATGGATAACCAGCGATATTTCCCTCCAGAAGTATCGCTCTCTCGAGAGTGGCTAGTATTATATAACCCGGCTGATCTCTAGATTCAACCCTCGAGCCTCCAATGCACACACGCAAATGAGCAGGAATGCAAGGGTGGCCACAACCTCACACTGGGCTGACATTGACATGCAAGGGCTTCACGTGCAATGTGTCAACATAACATGGGATTCCATCTTGAGACAGCTGCCCTGACTCGACGTGTTGTCTGGGCAGAATCCGGGGAGTCGGATGGCACCTGAGAAGTGCGATTTCACTTGGCCTAAATTGTTTGTGAAGGCCAAAATAAGGAAGCTACTAGGCGCTCCGGGCATCGCTACTAGGAGCAAGGACGCTACTAGGGGCTCCTGGCCATACTACTAGGAGCAAGTAGCTACTAGTAAAAAGAAACTCATGGAATTGGAATGAATGAAAATTCAACAGAAAGTAAGCAGTTGACCTCCGGAGGGCCACCAACATGACATGGAGCGTTGCCTGTGCTCTTGAAGAAATAGCACGCGAGTTGAGCACACTTGCGGTGTTTTTTTGCACCAACTGCATAAACAATGACGCGCATCCAAGCGACAATTTCGCACCATCCCACGGAGTGTCTTGACAAAGAACCTCATCTGAGTGATTTTTAGAACAAAAATCATCTATTTTCAAGTTTGTACATAATATTAACAAGGTCTTAAGCATGGGAATGGGACGTTGTGGAGGCCCGTCCTTTACGACGTTTTCCCAAAATTTTGCACTTGACCTTACAAAATTGTATGTTGTACAGCAAGCTAATATCCAACAACATTATATGAAGTGTTTAATTCCTCACGTATACACACATTTCAAAGGCAATCTCTCAAGAGAAAATTGAAACTTCTGGCAACCGCTATCAAGTTGGCCCTACAATTTTTGCTGCGACACTCACTGCAGCTGAAAAGAAATCTTCTTGCAATTTCGCTAGACGGGGTATCCACCAATCCCCCAAATTCGTTCAGCTAGACTTATTCACAAACATGTGGTGCAATACTAAAATTAATTGCCTTCTTTCCCCCTTGTTCACACTCTTACAAATTACACCTATGACTCATCCTATGGTCTTATTGCCACCTCATTTCTTCTTCCTCTTCTCGAACTCTCAAGAACATCTTGCTCATGCTGGCTCATTGTTGGCTCATCCTTTTTGCCACCTGCCCAATCTTTGGACTCTTTGAATAGGGTATTCTCATGTTCACTGGTCTTGCATATTTTGACACCATCTGCCTAACCATTGCAATCTTTCTTCCCAGTCCATTCCCTTCCTGCCTCATCATCCAATACTAATACCCTGTGAGACCTCATTCTTGGCCCCCATCGACAACCTGATGCCAATTCCTCCAGCTTATTTAGCTCAGCGCCCTTATCCAACCTTCTTTTGGCAACCTCTGCGGTCTTGATCCTCTCATCTTGCCGCTTTTGGGCTGAGTTCAGGGTCTTGTCGCCATGCTCCTTCATTTGCTTCATCCCGGCTTCTTTCACATTCTGCAATGCTTTGGTTATTTTGCTAAATCTTGTCAGCCGTTTCTTGCTGACCTCCAATGCCACCACCTCCTCACATTGATAGCTCCATCCCATGCCTAGCGGCAACCTTCTTCATGAGCATAGACTCACCAATGATTCCCCATTGTAGCAAAGCACCCAATATGATCTCAATCACTTGTTGTCAGTGTCATGTATTCCGCTATACCCAATTACCGCCAATTAAGCCTGGAAATGAACCAACTTGCTTGTTTGTCATTTGCCAGCCCATCAGCCTTCACTGAACCCCGCTCGTCGCTTCATACCAAATCCAGCTCTTCACTCATCAGGCCTCGTTCAAGCAACAATGAACTTTGAGTGGGTCTTCTGATGCCATCTCCATACTTTTTTATCACCCTGCATTTTAGCAAAATAACCATTCTTCACACACTTAGGCTGCCAATTGTTCCTTGTTGCTTTGCCTCGAATGAGCTCCGCACCCCATTCTCAGCTACACTAAACACCTCACCTTGACACCAATACGTGCTAATGCCTGCCTGCCCATTTGCCCCGCATGGTGGTGCACACCGCATAGAGGACCAATTTAAACTAAGTGACTGAGTGGGGGAGGTTCTCAATAGTGAATGCCATTGCTCGTGAACCTAAAATCGATTCCCTCATGCCTTTGAATCTTTAATAAATTTTGATCGCTACTTTGATCCTATGGTTTCTACCCCTCCTGGATCCCCCAATGATCCTGCCCATGTTCTTGTTAATGTTCTTTTCAAAGAAAGGCTTATAGGCTTATAGGACAGCACGTGCTGGAGGTTCCCACAAAGATTTAAAACAAGACGCGTGTATGTTATTGGTGTTTTGCTCAACAGTATTTCTTTATTTTTCATGCTTAGAACTGAGTAGCTGAGTAGTCGTTACTTGGATAAGTAGCCCTGGCATGCTCCAGGGTTGGTTGCAAAAAGAATTATCATTTAAACATATCCTTTTTGC